GCATGGGTGGCGGGATGTTTCTTTTGCAGGACCTCGTGCTGTTTATTATTCTTACTTCTGAAATGTTCTTTCTGGCTTTTGCAGGGTTCCCCCCCCCCCCCAAGAAAAAACCCCTATTAATTATGATTCCTTCAAAATACAAAATGTAACTTAGATATTCCACTTTACATATGTATTATATGGGCTATGGGGCAAATAACAACACTGAGCTTCCCCTACATCCCACCTCTTGCTCTCCCTCCAGTAAGCACCAGCAACACGTTGTGTTTGGAAACTGGGAGAGTAGCGGTGCCTCACCTGTGTTGCTGCATTAGTCACCTCTCTCTCTCTCTCTCTCTCTCTCTCTCTCTCTGTGTGTGTGTGTGTGTGTGTGCAAACGTGATGTTCATTTTAGCAAATGGCCTCTGAGATTCTAATGGGCATTGCTAGGCTTTCTCCAAGTGTTTCTGAGTGGGAAACTGAATTAGAGAAAATGGATCTGGGAATGATCTTGGCTATGGGCAGTGCTTTTCTCTGGGGGGGGGGGGGGATGCAGGGGTATGCATACCCCTAAACATTTTGTGAATCTTTGTACTTTTGTCCATTTACTGTATTTATTTTTCCCGATTTGAACTATAAAATGGTGATTTTCTTGAGTCAAAATGAGAGTGCCCCTAAACATTTTTTTTAGAAAAAAAAAAAAGCACTGGCTATGGCTAAGACATTAATTTGGGGAAATAAATTAATTTCTGACGATTTTATCCAGAGATGATTTGGGGAGGTAATGAATGGAAGGTGGTGTTTGTGTGTTTGTTTGTTTGCTTACTTGCTTGCTGTAAGCCACCCTTTGATCATCGGATGAAGGGTGGTATAAAAGTTCATTATTATCAGCGATGATAATGTTGATGATTAGGAATTGTACCAGGATCAGTTGGGGACCTGGGAGTAATTGAAGTACAGTGGTACCTCAGGTGAAGAACTTAATTCGTTCTGGAGGTCCGTTCTTAACCTGAAACTGTTCTTAACCTGAGGTGCCACTTTAGCTAACGGGGCCTCCTGCCGCTGCCGCACCACCACTGCACGATTTCTGTTCTCATCCTGAAGCACAGTTCTTAACTCAAGGTACTATTTCTGGGTTAGCGGAGTGTGTATCCTGAAGCGTCTGTAACCTGAAGTGTCCGTAACCCGAGGTACCTCTGTACAAAGGAACTGATTTGGGGTGATGTATATTAACTAAAGAACTTAGCTGGCATGACTCAGATGTAAAATTAGTTGACTTTCAAAGCCAAAATTTGCATCTAGCAGATAAATAATCATTTGCAAATTTTAGTCTATGGGGTTATGCCCCATATCTTTTCAGTAGCTAGCAATGCCCCGGGGGACTTCCTTTCTGCCAATAAAACATTTAAATGTGTTATAACAAATTATCAAGGGCTTAGTTGTTTTTTTCTACTTTTTTGTTATTTCTTCAACGAGTTGCCTTCTGTAAACGGAGTCCTTCCCTTAGAAGTGGGATCAGAAAGGCCACGTGTTACTTCTAACACCTGCAGTCATGGCTCATAGTCTTTACTTGCAAATCATTTTTTTAACAATGAAATGAGGGGGTGGGCAGGTCAATTTTTGCTTCTCAGACAAGAAATTGGAAACCTGCCAGCTTATTAACCACCAGAACTTCAGCCTGGCAGCCTTAATTCCAACATGAATACAAATTCTAAGTCTCAGATTTCCCCAGAGAATTGCCAGGAAATACTCTGAGCAAAAATAGAGCTTAAAAAAATGAGTCCATTTATGCATTGGAGAGGATGACTCTCGTAGAGCTTTAATCACCTGTCAGCTGGGATGTGCAGAATTGTAAACCAAATATTAGGTAGCTGTACATATTTTTTTGCTGGCTAGGATGCTTTCACTGCGGGGTTAGACTACAGTCAGTCAGCATTATGTGCAATGAAAAGAGCTATGTAAATAATAATAATAATAATAATAATAACAACAATAATAATAATAATAATATAGAATTTCTAAAGAAGAAATGATCTGGTAGAGTATCTAAGCCCTATTCATGCATTTGAGTGAATGTGTAGGGTTTTAAGGTGGGATAAGGTGTGTATGCAAGCATCACTTTCCCCATGTCCATTCATGGGCTGCCTGCACTTCAGACCTTCCTGTGATGAGTAAGAAGGACTAAAGCAAAATTCTCTCTAGAGGTACGCGACAAGCATAAGATTTGCCTTGTATCTGTAACCTTTGGGAACAGCCAAACTGATTTACTGAATTACACTTTGTCGTCATTCATTATTTGGGTACAAACTTGATTGGTTAAATCCAACACTGTTTCATCCCATTGACTACTATAGCCATAACTTTCCTACCCTGTTTACAGAAGTGGATGAAATGTGCAGGCAAGCGAGCCTTTCCAGAGTGAATTCAGCCTGCCAAGTTTTAAGCAGAGCTATTTGAGGGTTTTCATGCAGCAAACTTTTTAATAAAAAGAAAAGAAAAGAAGATGAAATGTCTCTAGCTTTTAAAGTTTCTGCTAGTTGGATGCAAATTGTAGGCTTTTAAAATCTCTTTTAAGGGGATGAAGCCAGGTCTATATCAGTAAGTTAGATGGAAAGGTTCTGCTATCATGCTAAGTGATTTTACCTTTGTTATATTAAAAAAACCTGGGGGGAAACTTTTTTCCCCTTTCCCGGAAGTATCCTCCATTAAGCAAAAGGAAAAAAATCCTGCCCTTAATGCCCAAAACTAAAGAATTCATTTAATTCCTTTAGAGAAGAGACCCCATCATCATGAACAAAACTGATTACATCCAGGAGGCTCACAGACAACTTTCCAATACCGCCTTTACTTAAAATTGGACTCAGACCCCACACAACAGTGCCCTTCAGCTCTCTATATTGGACAAACAGGCCAAACCCTATGCCAAAGGATAAATAGACATAAATCCGACATCAGGAATCACAAGACAGAGAACACTTCAATCTCCCAGGACATTCGATACAAGATCTCAAAGTAGCTTATTACAAAAGAATTTCAGAAATAGACTGGAAAGAGAAGTTGTTGAATTGCAACTTATTACGAAATTTAAAACCATGGAGAGACCTGGTCTGAATAGAGACATTGGATTCTTATCTCATTATACATGATAAAGCTATTTTAGCTATCTCACCCCTTGCTTTTTCCTGTAAGATCAATTGCAGTTGTTAACAGTCGTCAACAGGCTTACCACACCTATCAGCCAATCACCCATTCCCACCACCTTTCTGAGTAATACCCCTCCCCACCCTCTCACTATATATAAGAGTCTGGTGACTTCTGTTTCAGTGTATCTGAAGAAGTGTGCATGCACACGAACGCTCATACCAATCACAAACTTAGTTGGTCTCTAAGGTGCTACTGGAAGGATTTTTTTTATTTTGATATAAAGGCATCTTCATATGTTCCAACGTTAAAATGAGTATGTTTAGAATAATTTGGGAGCCCTCTGAATCAGAAGCCTGTAAATTAGAGAGTCCCAGTGTTGAGGTTAATCTCTGTCATGAACTCATTTTTCAACTCATTCCCCTTCTCAATCTGCAAAATGAGAAAAAGAAAATCTCCTTTAAAGGGTTTTTGTAAGGGCTATAACACTCCATGCGGATATTCAAAAGTCTTACATAAGTGTATAATACCATACCATACCATATAATAATTATATTGTATATAAAAGTCTTACATAAATGTTTATAATACAATACAATACAATACAATATTATATTGCCACCAGATGAATTGCCCCTTTCACAAATCACTTTACTGTTCACTTTCACATTCTTGCTGCACGCTGGCTAAGGGTCCCCTAATTAATATTAGAATAAATAACTTTCTTTAACAACTTGTCACAGACTGTCTTGTCAAAAAGGCAGTTCTTTGTAGCTAATTTTAAAGCAAGTGTCACCAAACATATGGAAAAACTTACAGATAACACTCTTGTGTCTTACTGAATATTTTTGGAGACACGTTGTGAAGCATTTTCCCCCCCAGTTCAAAGTGATATTGTTAAAGTTACAGCAGATTGTGTTGTTTCAGAGGCGAGCAGAAAAACATGTTTAAAAAATATGCTGTCCCCAAACAGAACCAGCTGTGTGTAGTGCTTACCACTGCCTCTCTGCCCATGTCAAGATGCTGAAAGTCCCATGCTCCTGTGCTAAAGGATTGGAAGAGGAACACACTTGGATGTGATGCAATTGCGGTTCCAGGTGTGCTAAAAAAAAGTTACCTGTTTAGGAGTCTATAAGCCAAACACTTGGTGTGCTAATGCTGGAGAAGCATGCACAAGCTGTGTTGCTCATATGTGACCAACAGGTAAGTTTTTAAAAGATTCCCATCACCGTGGTTAATCTGGATCCCTGTTTATGCAAAGACTTGAAATATATTCTACTAGGTGTTTGGGAGATGATAAGGGAGAGCTCTACTTGCTGTTTTTGAAGTTGAGATGCAACTGCAAATGCTGATGGACTGAAGCATACAGAGTTCTCTGTGTGTTTTCCACAGTCTGCCCTGTACCCCAGAGCTAGCCTAGTGTATGCCGTTATTGTGAGGATTCTCCCCCATCACCTCTGTAGAAATAACATTAATCTACAGGCTTGATGGCTTCTGTACATACAGCTGGGAGGCAGGGAGGGGAAGAAGCTGTCTCCCACTTTGCCTCAGGCATCAAATTTCTTTGTTGACAGCATCTACATTTCCCCGTCCCCTCCCCAAAACACACACACACACACACACACACACACACCCCAAGTCTACCAGTTATTGGATTTGGATGGAGCTATGAAATAATATTGTTATAAAATGGTTTGGGTTATAGCTTTGTTTGAAAAGTTATCAAATAAAAGAAAATTGGCTAGGGAGACAAAGGAATAGTTTGGGGCCACGTTGGAGTGCTTTGAATAAGAAATTGAATAATGTAATGCTGCCATCTCAGTATGGCATTTGTGGAATCCATAGTTGTTTGTTTTTGCTGTAGGCTGCAGTAACATTAAGAACATCTCTGAATCGGTAAAGCGTGAGACTCTTAATCTTAGGGTTGTGGGTTTGAGCCCCATGTTGGGCAAAAGATTCCTGCTTTGCAGGGGGCTGGACTAGATGATCCTTGTGACCCCTTCCACTCTAAGATTCCATGGAGGGTGGAAGAGAGGAACAAAAGTTGTGACAGGGTAAGAAATGAACCTATCCATTCTTAAGGAAATCAGCCCTGAGTGCTCACTGGAAGGACAGATCTTGAAGCTGAGGCTCCAATACTTTGGCCACCTCATGAGAAGAGAAGACGCCCTGGAAAAGACCCTGATGTTGGGAAAGATTGAGGGCACAAGGAGAAGGGGACGACAGAAGATGAGATGGTTGGACAGTGTTCTCGAAGCTACGAACATGAGTTTGACCAAACTGCGGGAGGCAGTGGAAGACAGGAGTGCCTGGCGTGCTCTGGTCCATGGGGTCACAAAGAGTCAGACACGACTAAACGACTAAACAACAACAACAAAGAAATGAAGCGCTGCACGTGTTTTTAGGACCCATCTTATTTTTGTGATTGGAAGTTGTTTTAAATTGTTTTTCATATTGTGTTGTGATGTTGTGTGGCTTGCCATTGGGACGTTAGAGTAAAAGGAAGGTAAATGAAGAAGAAGAAGGGGAAGAAGAAGAAGAAGAAGAAGAAGAAATAAACATGGCTTTAAAAGACTTACTCTGTGCCTGAACTGACTCTGGACATGCACAAACAGCAAGAGAGAAAAAGGACAGGAAGGGCCACCAGAACTGATGTCAATTCTATTAGCCTTCAGCAGCTACTGCGGCTAGGGAGTGCTTTGTGCATTGCTTTGCTAGTTGCTGGGAAAACAACACAGAATGCAAAGGAAGGCTTCAATTATGACTGAGCAGCCACAGCTCTTCTTCAAAGTCACACACGGAAGACCACCAGTATCAGGTTTGGGAACCTTTGTTCTTGGTGTATTTGTGGAGAGTAAGTCTTGGGTCTATTAGTCTCTGGAACCGAGTTACATTTATGTTCAGAATTTTGTTTATATTTTGAGCTACGTTCTTTGTTTCTATGGAGATATAGATATTAAAACACAAGGGTCTACCACTTAAATGTAATTCAGTTGGATCCAAAAAGTTTCTTTCTTTTCTTTCTTTTATTTTCTGTCTGCCTGGTTGGTTTAAGTTAATAGATTGAAAGCAAAACAATTAATTTACTGGAATCTTTTGGGTGTTTTTCCATCTGGCATGTTTGGTTAATTTAGGCTGCATGCAATCTACAGCTGCATATTTGGAAGTAAGTTCTTTGAAAATAATGGCACTCCTCACATCATGTGAAAAACTGGAATGTCCACATATTACTTTGTTAACATCTAAAAAATGCCCACATTCTGTTGTTTTGTTATTGGCATCAAAGGCATTTCAAATGCCATTGTGTTTTCACAAAGCTCTTCCAAGGCTGTCGTTCCATGATGAATATCTGAATGCTTCAATACATCAGAGATTTGTGGGTACTTTGGTACTCACTGGGCAAGGTTACATTACATGCTAAGTGCAAGATGCATTCCAGCAAGTATAGCCATGTAACTATGTTCTGAATAATGACTGCTTGATATTATATGGGTTTCTTCAGTACTTTTTCTATAACACTAGTCTTTCCAAATGGCTACAGTGTTCATAAAGTGGCGCCATCACCACCACAATCAACAATAGGGATATGTTTCAAAATGTAAAATTATCCACCATGCACAGAACAATGGTTTTATGGATTCATTCACTCTACAAACAATTCTGCACAATTTTATAGGGACCCTAAATCAAGAAGCAATTTTCAGCTTTTGACAACAACAATGCTGAAAAGTACCTGTTCCCCACCTGATCACTTTCCTGCTCTAAACTGTTTGCTCAATCTAAAATAGTCCGAGCTTTGTTTGAAGAGTTTGATGTGGTTATAGCTAATCTTTTAACAAGACAGGAAAGATTTATGTATCCTAAATCAAATGCAATCTTTGTCTTTCTTCATTACTGTTGAAATGTTTCTCCATATATCCTGAAAATGGTTTGTTTAGGCACTACAGGTGCAGCTATCTTCCACTTCTCCGATGTGTGTTTGTGCCTTTTTATATGTGTGTTTAAGCAGCTAAGGGAGTACATTGTGGTCAGAAAGGCCCTAGTTCACATTTCACCCAGGCCACAGGCTCAGTAGGGTGGCTTTAGGCAAGGCAATAGTTGCTCTACTTTATTCTTTATTCTGCAGTTGGGGTCCATAATACTGGCTTACTTTACACTACTATGATCATATGGCTAAGGTGCTTTAAATACTTAAATTCTGCTATATAAAAGACAGGCTATTATAATTATTATGGGTTAAAATCGCATGCTCACTAGAACCTGGAGTAAGTCCCATTGCATACAGTGGGCTTAAAGGTAAAGGTAATGGTACCCCTGCCCATCAGGGCCAGTCGTGACCGACTCTAGGGTTGCGCGCTCATCTCGCTCAAGAGGCCAGGAGCCAGCGCTGTCCGAAGACACTTCCGGGTCACGTGGCCAGCATGATGAAGCAGCATCTGGCGAGCCAGCACCAGTGCAGCTCACGGAAACGCCGTTTACCTTCCCACTAGAAAGCGGTCCCTATTTATCTACTTGCACTTAGGGGTGCTTTCGAACTGCTAGGTAGGCAGGAGCTGGGACCGAATGACGGGAGCTCACCCCGCCGCGGGGATTCGAACCGCCGACCTTTCGATCGGCAGGTCCTAGGCTCTGTGGTTTAACCCACAACGCCACCCGCGTCCCTACAGTGGGCTTACTTCCATGTAAATTTGCACAGGATTGGACTACACATTTAGAAAAAAACATAAGATGCAAACATAGAAACTAACAATCTGATCACCAAAAGGGCATCAGAATTTTTCTGTCAAACATAAACCATTGCTAAATGGTTTGATTAGATATTCTGTTTATTTCTGAATCAATAAAGCTCTTCTCGGATGAAAGCTTTAGCCCTGATAATCTCTCTTGAAAGTTTCCAAGTTGATGTTCATTCCTATTTCATCACCAATTTATTTCAAGTTGGTAGTGTTACAATTTGCATGCCATGGTAATTTCAAGAGATAAGCAAATATATCTATGGCTACAGCAGCAGCTGTGGATGATCAAGAAGAGCAATGAGCCAGCGTGTGAGGCGTTTTGTGTGTTTTTTAACTTTGAACACTAAAACATATTCATTGCAGGGAATAGCCACCAAATTTAGTTTAAGATGGTAGACTTAAATAACCCAAAAAAGGTTTAAGGGAGTGAGGTCTGAAGCATTTGCTCCCTCCATTTCTTGTAATGTGATTTTCTGAGACCCCACAATGTATTTGATAAGAGACCCAGGCCCTGTCAAAATTATACAGTACTCAACCAGTTGTCAGAGCTGAATGCAACAGCTCTAGTATATATAGTCAGTTCCCTGTGGAGATTTATTAGACAGTGTAGTTGCCATGGCCCCATCCTTAAGGCTCATGGAAGGAAGAGTGTGATCTGGTTTTCAGAAAGGTTTTTCCTAACAAGTGAAGAGCAGAACCAGGTTTCCGCTGATGGCTGATGGCTGTGAACCCTTGCCAGGGAATTCACAGACATGTTTCACTGAGCCAGATTCACCTGAAAAGCCAAACACCTACAGCTCCACAATGCCTACCCAAGGACACAGGGAGCATACCAGATGAGAAAGCACAGAGAGGAAGAGAAGTTCTCACTAAGCTCCAGGTATTGTCCAGAGAGAGAGAGAGAGAGAGAGAGAGAGAGAGAGAGAGAGAGATCAGCGTTCCACCCCACTCCATTACAGAATCAATGATCCACCATATATTTGTGTGCATGTGAGTGTGTGGAGGGGAGGGGATAGATTTCATAATTGAAAAGCTGCCCAAATTTCCTTTCAGCAGCTTGTACAGAAATCCTGATTTTATAGTACATAACTCTTCTAGTCAGTGCATGATCAATTTGACCATAAAAAAGAACAGTTGAGGATCTTCTCAAACTTGAAAATAGATTGAGACCATTGGAGGATGTGAACCATATGTACAAGAAATAAATCTTTATGAAAACACATGAGAAAGGAACAAAAATAACGTTATGAGAATGAACACAAAATCTGTTTTATTGATTCAGCCAGCTTTAATAATGAAGATATGCAGTCTGTGATCAGCTGAGAAGAAGCATAGAACTAGATTTTTTTGTTCATCACAGCTTGTTTGTAATGTTCTAGTGACACCAAGCAGACTTAAATGGGACATATCCCCTAGAAATTCTTGCCATTTCCCTTGCTTAAAATGCAGTATGTTTCCATCTAATAGTTTACTAAAGAGTGATGTACTGCAGATAGAAAATTTACCAAGACTGATCCTCTAGCCTAAATAAAACAAGCACTTCCTTCTTTTGAAATATATGTCCTTATGGAGACAATGCACATTATATATTGTTCTGTAATGCATTATAAGCGCCATTAGCATAGCAAATGGCCTGGTAGCGTACAGAAATAATTCTGACATATCTGATCCTCTTAAGGATGTCCAAATGATCATCCTTCATGCTGGAGTGACAGCAGGAAACAAAAAGGAAGGATATGAACCTCAAAAAGTGTGATATAATAGGTACTCGTGCACTGTTCAAAACATCATATTGAATAGAAGTAAGCCAAATTACTGGCTCATATATATACTCCTTTGTCAAGGTAATGGTTTTGGTTGGCTGTACCAACCTCCTCCAGAGCATCTGCAAAGAAGTTGCTCTGTGCCAAAGAACAAATTGCTTTTTTTTCCCCCCTAAGCACCTGGCTGGTATATAGAACAATAGTCAGAGCTGTTGTGTATGAGAGATGGAAGCTTGGGAGAGAGGCATATCTTGCTCTGTACTGGAATTTGGGGGTCCCCTGGAAACCTAAAGGGGAAACATGATCTATGGGAGTGTTAATGCAGTGAGCCCCTCCATCCTATGCTCAGCTTGTATATGTGTGTAAATAAAATCATATATCCTAAAGACACTACAGTGTCCATGGGCCTTCATTTGAAGGAAACTGAGCCGTGGGTAAGCACAGGACCCCCT